TTGGTGGAAGTAGTTTTTACCCAGCCCGAGCACTCTTTAACCTTTGGTCAGACCCACTAATAAGAATAGTGAGTTATCCAAACAGCACAGCCGTCTCAGACAGCCTTCCGGCAACAACTGCAGAAATGCAGTGGTCATCTCAGCTGGAATATGAAGGCCAGAGAAAGCTCTGTAGATTTCACAAAAGGCAGCATCCACCAAGTCAGTCTGTCCTGGCCATGGTCAGGCTTCCTTTCTGCCTCCCTGCAGACCGTCAGGCGGGGGTGACTGGGTGCCAGCCCGGAAAGTTGGCTCACGTCTCAACCTAACATGACAGCCTCCCAGTGGCCTAAGGAAGCTACTGTGGATCCTACTTGAGGGAAAGAGAAGTTCTCAGCGGCAAAAATAGTAAGGCATGAAAAATATTTACAAAATATTCTTCACACAGTCTTATGAAACATTTACAAAATATTCTCTGCATTTGCCACTTCTTTGTAAAATTCTGTAATAGATATTTTGAAAATAAAAGGTCACGTTTATTCACTTTCTACAATTGGTCACTTTCTACAAAAGTTTTCTTGCAGGCAAACTGACTTGCACACAGCATTTTAGAAACTACAGGCTTAGTGGTCCCGGTAGAGCCTGGGCTCTGACAGGGAGGGTAAGGTCAGGGTGGAAATCTGGAGGACTGATGAAGAGTGATTTATTCTAAAAAAGGTCACTTTCTACAATTTCCCATTGTGACCTTCAGCACAGCTTGTGGAAGCTCAGGCCTGTTGGAGTCGTGGGACGTGCGCCCTTGTTTCCGACACTGTCCCCTGGCCTGCAGCGCAGCCCATAGGTCAGGACTCGGGGAGCCCCCCCGGGCCCTGCGGGGTGGGGTGCTCTGCTCTGCACACGCCAGTGACACTGCCTGTTCTCGACCCTTCCCGCAGCTGGGTGGCGGAGGCGTGGGAACACTGCACCCGGACCTGCGGGGCCTCGGGCTCGCAGCTGCGCACCGTGCGCTGCCTGCAGCCGCTGCACAACGGCAGCAGCCGCTCCGTGCCGGCCAAGCACTGCGCCGGAGACCGCCCCGAGAGCCGCCGGGCCTGCAACCGCGTGCCCTGCCCGGGGCACTGGAAGACCGGGCCCTGGAGCGAGGTGAGCCGGTGCAGAACGCGCGCTGCCTGTTTTAATTTGACCTGAACCCCAAGTAGGCTCTGCACGAGCCGACAGTCAATGCATGTTTTGTAATAACCAGAAGGTGTTAGAAAAATCAGTACTTTG